TTGCTTAACAGCTTGGACCTGTGTGTGCTTTTTGGTCTGGCTGGAAATGATAGGACTTGGGGACTGTAAACCTGGTTGTCTTCCCGATTTTCCTCCTAAATCCCATGAGCTTGTAGCCTTTCTCAGGAGACTGGGCTGGTTTAGGGGAGGCCTGCTGGATCTTCTCAATTCCTTCAGGTCTGTGTGTGCAAAGGACAGAAATTACTGAACCTCAAGGCATAAATGTGATCATTATTGAAAAACCTTCAGGAGTAGGCGGTTGGCAAAGCCAAGACGACACAAACCCTCAAGAGAATAACAACCCTCAAGAGACCAGTGGCTGGAGCTTACCGGCTGGTGCTTTGTGTGGGTTTGTTTTGAAATCCAGGGTGGATGCTGAATGCCAGGGAGGGTGAGATGAGGCAGGCTGGGGGGCAGGAGGCTGGGCTGCTGACTTTGGAAGACAGGGCATGATTCACGTCCGTGCCGTCCAGGGAAGGATGGGGAGGTTGGGTGTTACTTCTGCCTACCAGAGGGGGACCCGAAGGACTGATTAAGATCCATTTCCACATGCACGTGACAGGAATGAGGCCTTTGAACCTTGGCTTCAAGTAAATCACTGCCTCTCAACTCAGATTTGCCCAGGGCCTCCCGGATATACTGCGGTGAGAATCATCCTTGTGGACGTGACCTTCTGGAAAGAATTAGCCAGGAAGTGAGATGCGGTAGTGAGAGCTCTAGAGTGGGAAGAGAACTCATCCTGGCAGCATTGATGGAGGAGCTGAGGGGCAGTGTGGGGCCTCTAGTACCTCAACTGTGTGATTAGGGCATTGGGCTAGGGAGAGAGTCCTTCCTGTATTTCTAGGAGTTTATGATTCTATCTGTCTAAAAACACAACCACCTCCTTGTTTTCAGTTCCTACAAGGGTAGGACCATGTGGGCACCGGTTACCTATATTGTCCCCTGCCTTCCTCCAGCCATCTGCCCTTGGAGCACTTTCTGGCTTGTGGGCAACTTCACAAAAGGCTGGGTAGTAGGAGGGAAGGAGGAGAGGCTGAGAACACTACAGGCCTCTGTAGAGAAGAGGGGTACAAAGTGGGCCGGAAGTGTCCAGCAGCAGGCCCTCAGGCCCTGACCCAGCCACAGAGAGGGCAAGACTGGGGGGAGTCGCTGGCTTCAGGGCCTTGTCATGTGACATCAAGCAGCATATCACAAGCCAGTTTGTTTATAATAATCACGTTGACAATGGTGGAAATGGAAAATGTCAACCAAAGGGAGAGAGTTAAGTGGTCTTCTTGGCTCTCTCCTCGCTGCTCAGCGTCACTGGTCTGTCCTATGCACGCCTGGCCTGACGGGTGGGCTCAGGGCTGTGGGCCAGGCCTTGGGTGCTGAGGGTAGCCAGCAGCACCCCCTGCCATCTGGGTGAGGCTCTTCCCTGTCCTCTCGGGTGAAGCCTGTGGTTTCTTTTCTTTTCTGTGAGTGCAGCTAACTCATTACCAGCGGTGCTAACTTTGGGGTCTCCTGACTGGGAAGAGGAGGAGGAGGAGATGGATCTTAGAGCCTTTAAAGAGTTGAGGCCTTTCTCAAACCCGGACCTGGGCTTGGTAGATGCCTTGCAGTGCCTCAGCAGCAGCGACTGGTGAGGAGATACCTTACTCTGGGCACTGGGGCCTGGGTATGCCTGTGCGTATGTGTGCATGTGTGCACATGTGTGTACGTGTGTACATGTGCATGTGCGTATGCCCTGGGATGCTGCAAACAGCCTGTGTACTGCTCTGGGACATGCCAGAGCCAGGTATGTGAGTATGAGTTTGACTCTACAGCATGGGGCCAAACAAATGCCCCAGCCCTTTATTTCCCTGAATCAGACTTAATCTGAGTGTTCCTCCCATTGTGCTGGTGGGACACAAAGCACAGTGGGAGGACAAGCAGTTTGGTGATGGCAAAGCAGTAATTTGGGGTCCAAGCACTGCAGGAAGCCCTCCACGGTCTTCCATGGAGGATAGACTTCCATTCTCCCTGTTCAAGTGCCTTCTTTTGAGGGTGTCAGCTTTGTGCCAAGGTGACACACAGTTGTGACTCTACTGTAGCCAGTAATAGTCCTGGGGGTGGCTTTAGTCCCAGCTCTGCAGAGCTGAGGACCAGCCAGGAGCCCCATAAAAGTGGTCCTTACTGCTTGGTTAGGATTTAGGGCCAGGATGTTACCCCAGGAAACCCCAATCTGAGGTCATGGAGTCCCACCCTACTGTTGGAGTGCGTGTGGCGCTGTGCTGATGTGGGTGCTGCCGCTCTGTGGGGCTCCCCTCTGCACCAACTGCCACAGGCCTGGTCTCTCTTCCCAGGCAGTTGAAGGAGAAGGGCCTGGCGAGCATCCGGTGCCTGGCCACCTGTCACACGGAGGTCCTTGCTGGGAGGCTGCATGAGGTGTCCTTGGCAGTGACTGGGGAGGTGAGGCCTCCCAGCCAGCCTGGGTACTGTGCACTCTGCCCCCACCTCAGCTGTTCAGAGCCTGGGGCTCCTGGACTGGGCACATCCCGGCTTGTTCCCAGTCCTCAGCTGCTGAGGTAGGAAGTAGCCACCCATTTCTCAGAATGGAAATCTGGGGCCTGGGGTTTTCTTATTTGCAAGTTTTGGGAATTGACACAGAATCCTGTGTGCCCATTTGTCACCCAAAATGCCTCAGGAGGGATGGAGTGCTGTGGGCCAGGTCCCCCACTTCAGGGCAGTTGGA